CGAGGTGTAGAAAAATTTGTTCTACATGTCTAGTCTATGTGTTCTCTGGTCAGTGTTATGACTCAAATTCAAAGCACGCGCCTTTCTTAAAATGTCACTGTTAACTTACTGTTAAACGCAAAACAAATCTCTTATACGAATGTATTCTTATACGCTTGTGTGTCATAACTCGAATGTGAAATTCTTATTAGTATGCATAATGAACATTCATCCGATATAGAATTAGTTTTTGTGTATATCCCCAACAGTAAACATCCGGATCTTTTTTCGCAACGTGAACAACTTTATAGTCGCCCAAAATGCCGTTGCATATAAGTTCCAGCCAGGTATGTGTCTCGAAAAAATAATTTTAAACATATTATTTTAAATATTTAATTACTTTTAGGAACTCAAGAAAGAATTGGCCAGCTTTTCAGGCAGATTTACAATCCAGCCCGGTAGTATATCACGCCTCGGTGTGCATCTCGAGAATCATAAAGAAGAAGCTCTCCATTGGATGGACTTGTGTGAGAGTATGAGACCATTCGGTGGTATCCTGGCCGATGATAAAGGATTAGGTAGTACGTGTACTATGATTTGCTGGGTACTCCTCAAACAACTGGAGAATGGGGACACTTCAAACAAGAGTAAGTTAAGCTCTAAGTTAATATTTAATTTAAAAATACGAGTTATATGTAGACTGAAAGCAAATAAGCAAAAAAATCAGCTTGGCAGGCATGGTAGAGAATAAAATATGTATATATTCTTGATTAGCACGATCAGCGATCTATATGTAGACCACTGAGATAAATACATATTTCAAATTCGCATATCAATCCCATTACAATTACAATACAAACAATTAGAATTATTTAATTAGTATTATTACGTTGAGCAAACGATAGTGTATCTGAAACCGGGCTTTCATACATACACATATGCGTTTATAAATACATATGCACAATATTCAAATATTTGCAGGAACTTATCAAGTATTTATTATATACATATACATACATATATGTATATATGTATATATGATAAGTTCCTACACATTTCAGATCATTTCCCACATCCACTCATATTTGTGCATCGAGTATATATATAAAAGTATATATAAAAGTATAAAAGATATTAAATCAACATATTAGTATATCTCGACTGGAATTCGACCGATTTGAGCAGTTTTACTTCTTCTGAATTCTCATATTCCTGTGTAGATAATGAAATTCCAGAAGCAAAACTGCTCTAATCGTATGCCTTACTGTACTTACGACTTTTGATGATTGAATGTAGAAGCATAATATATCAAACACTTGTAGTGTAGGTTAGACTTTTGGATAAACATAAACAAACATAAATAATCATTTTAAAAATCTTGACCCCTGGTACAAACAAAATATAACTCGAAGTATTCTTCTTCACTTATACTACGTCATACAATTACTTAATTTGTTTTAGATTATACTGGCAACACTTTGATTGTATGTCCAAAAGCTATTGTGACCCAGTGGGTAGATGAGATTAGAGCTTTGGCAGGGGATCAGCTAACGGTTTATGAGTACATCGGAACAAATCGCGAAACCAAGGACATTTCTAAGGCAGACATTGTGATTACCACCTATAGAATTGTAACGTTTGATGGGAAGAAAGAACCGAATCCGCTGAATCTCAAATGGCGTCGCCTCATCTTGGATGAGGCCCAAGCCATAAGAAATACCAAGACGGAATGTTCAAAAGCAATCCGCGCTCTGAACAGCCATTTTCGATGGGCTGTGACTGGAGAGCCAATTCAGAATAATGTAAATGATTATATGGCATTGCTCGGCTTTCTATGCGGATAACAGTTAACGATGGATAAACGCTTGTGCTTAAGGCGTACAATGTCTGATATTCAGTCAACTGTCAACAAAAAACAGATTCAGAATTTTCCAACTTTAAATGAAATTCCCATTGAAATAGAACTTAATGAACAGGAAAGAATATTGTATGACAAAGTTCGCAGCAAATTGGATCGACGAGTCCATAGGCGCTCCATGATTCACTTGGTGCGGGTGCAACGCCTTCAACAGCTATGCGCGCATCCATATCTAATCCGTTCGGTAAGTTTCAGAATCTGTGTCCATGAAACTAACCACAATTAAATATATTTGTTATTTAAATATATTGTAATACAGATGAGCATAATTAGACAGGGGCAATACGAAGGCGAAAGCGACTTTGACTACAGTGACACATCTGATGCTAATGCTCTGAGCCTAAAGAATCCCATCTTTGACCGGGCCACTCCCTCAACGAAAATCCTTGAAGCTACTAAGATAATAAATAATAATGCGTACTGCAAAATAAGGGGAAAATCATTGTAGTATAACGATGGCAATACTGCTGGAAATATTGAAAGAATATTTAAATAGCGTCGACAGAGAACTAAGGATTATAACGTTAACTGGCAGTGATACGCAGGATACAATCAGAAAATTTAACGAATCTGATGAGCCTTGCGTTCTACTGCTCTCGTCGGAATTGGCGATATCTGGCTTAAATTTAAATGGAGCCAATTCTTTGTTGGTCATGGATTGTCACTGGAATCCGCATTTGAAACCACAAAGTGCCATCTATCGTCTGGATCAGAAAAACAGAAATGTTTCCGTCTATCAGTTTTTTTGCAAGGATACGGTGGATGGCCAGGTTCAACAGGTGCAGCAAAATAAGTTGAATTTAGCCTTTCATTTTCTCAGAGCGACGGCTATTTCATCAGTTCGAAAAGTTATTGAATATTTTCTGAGTCTATGGAAGTAATTTATATTTTGTATTATATATTTTGTAAATATATCAAAATTTTTATCAATATTTTTATTTCTTGTTTGATATTAAAAGCAGAGCTGTTAGTTAACATAAAACGTAACGGAAAGAAGTATAAGTGACTGCCACTGTTAAAAGACACACTGCAAACGCTCATCACAGTAGCAACAGCTGTTTTAATCTGCCAACCTAGAATTGACGATGAATTCACTACTGTAAACGCAAATATGACGCATGGTTAGCTATATAGCGTTGCCACCTAAATTGACTACTCTGTATACGACTTAACAGTACCTATTGAGGACAAAACAGTAGGAAACTTCGAGCCGGACAAATAAAATTGGAGCATAAATAAAAATACAAAATGGATGTTGATGCTGCACAAAAGAAATGGGAGCTGGAGAATAACGTACAGACATTGCCCAGCTGCGATGAAATCTTTCGTTATGATGCCGAGCAGCAGCGCCAAATAATTGACGCCAAGCCCTGGGAAAAGGATCCGCATTTCTTTAAAGATATTAAAATCTCGGCTCTGGCACTGCTCAAGATGGTCATGCACGCTCGCTCTGGTGGAACGTTGGAGGTGATGGGTCTAATGCTGGGCAAAGTGGAGGACAACACAATGGTGAGCAAAACTATAAAAAGAAAAAGCTCGAAATTAAAGCACTGAATTGTAGATTGTCATGGATGCTTTTGCACTGCCCGTAGAGGGAACAGAGACGAGAGTTAATGCCCAGGCCCAAGCCTATGAGTATATGACCGCCTACATGGAGGCGGCCAAAGAAGTGGGACGGTTAGAGCACGCTGTTGGTTGGTATCACAGTCATCCAGGATACGGCTGCTGGCTGTCGGGCATTGATGTATCCACCCAGATGCTCAATCAGACCTACCAGGAGCCCTTCGTCGCCATTGTTGTTGATCCGGTGCGCACCGTGTCTGCTGGAAAAGTATGCCTTGGTGCATTCCGCACATATCCTAAAGGCTACAAGCCGCCCAACGAAGAACCGTCGGAGTATCAGACGATCCCGCTCAACAAGATCGAGGACTTTGGTGTTCACTGCAAGCAATACTATCCGTTGGAGATAAGTTATTTCAAGTCGGACTTGGATCGCAAACTGCTCGACTCGTTGTGGAACAAGTACTGGGTGAATACACTGGGCAGCTCAGGTCTCCTAACCAATACGGAATACACCACCGGCCAGATCATGGACCTGTCCGAGAAGCTGGAGCAAAGTGAAAACTTCTTAGGTCGCGGTACATACACTTGATTGATGTAAAAAGTTCACGATTCGCCTTTTATAATAAAAATTTAATCTATTTCCCCAGGCACCGACATCAATGAGAAGAGATCCGAGGACAAGTTGTCCAAGGCAACGCGCGACTGCAGCCGCTCCACTATCGAGCTCATCCACGGCCTGATGGCCCAACTTGTCAAGGACAAGCTCTTCAACAAGGTGGGCTTGGGCAAATAGGCAGCACCGAAGAACAATCTAAAGAACACTTTGTATTCATAAATATATATATAAATAACCAATTAGGTTGCATTTTCCATGATAAATGCAATCTTATTTGCCACATCAATCATGAAGACTACAGAAGTGTTTATTTAACGGTCGGGCACAGGGCTGAATCCAGGTGTGTCAAGAGCAGAGGCTTTAATTGAGTGGACTTTCACGTGCCAGCACCAAAAAGCTGAAATGAAGCTTTTATTAAATATTAAATTACTTATTCGAAGACTTCCTCGCATATATGTTGTGTGTGTGTGTAACTTACCAGGCCAGTGTTGCCAGCTTAGCCTATTTCAGGCTAGTTTTAGCCTATCTCGCTAGATGATGATAAGACCTTTGAAAATGAATTAGCGAATAGCCGGAAATAGAGGCAGACAAGGCAGACTCTCAAGTTCTAGTTCTTAAGAGAACCTGGAAACTAAAAAATTACTGTCTAAATTGCTAAAAATAAATTGCTGTCTTGCCATCTAATAACTGTAACTATTAATGTACATAAGCTATTTAGAATTCAACTCTATCAAACATACATTTTCTTGAGCAGCGTAATGAGGTAAAGAAATTTGACTGTATATCTGTATATTTGCCTCGCTGTCTGTCTACCTGAGAAAAGCAATGGATAAAGAACTATAGAAGATTATTTAAGTTGTCTATATGTATGCAGTAATATTCATTTGCTGTATGTATTTAAGTAAAACGACGTTAGAATGCTTGCAGAGAGTGTAGACAATGCTCTCATTTTTCTTTTAAAGGTAGACTGGAACGACCTCTACTTGGCGCTTGGATCAACATTTGAGAGCGACTAAGGCTTTGAGTGAATGTTGCCCTATATAAAGGGCAGCAGCTGCAGCATTTCTTCAGTCGCCCAGGATCGACTGTGCCGTGCATTAAAGTGAAGTTAAGCGTGTTTGAAAATTTATTGATCGTTCAACTAAGCATTGAAGACTTGACGGAAATACAAGGAGGACAAAAATACTTAGAAGACATACATACATAAAAATTGGAGAAAAGAGAAAATTCTGATTAAAAAGAAATAGGAAATGGTCAGCATAGTATTGTATGTCAATTTATTTTGTTGATTTTTATTTTATTTTTATGATAAGCAAATATGTTTCTTCCACATTTATATATGTATGTAGCCTGGTATTCCATTTTGGAAGTTTAGCCTCTTTTAGCCTACTTTTATCCACAATTTAACGTTTTTCATAGCTCAGCACTGTAACCAGATAGCTAATATAAATAGCACAACATCCTTTAGCGCTTAACCGCTGTCATCAGCTGTCAACATTTGTTTTTCGGCTCCCTTACGTAGATTTGTATGCCTACTGTGATTTGTTTTTTTTTTTTTTTTGTCCTTGGACAATGACATCCTTGAACTCGCATCAAATTAATTGCCAGCAAACAAAAAGCTTTTATGAAATGAATATTTAAATACCCATAACATATTCCGTTTCATGCAGTAACGCTGAAATTCAGGAAATATTGTTTTTCGAAATATTGCTTTTTGTTTTATGCAGAAGGAAGCCTGACTGACTCTGTAAGGGATTGTCGAGCTACTCTTTCGATGATCCAAAAACAACTCTTATTCTTTTGTGCCTGACTCGTAACTAAAGCAAATTCTGCGATTTTCACTGTATAGGTTTACAGTTAAGAAATCTTCTTGCTTTGGAGCTGGAAACAATTGAATGCGGATATACTACAATAATATTCACATTATGAGTAGTATCAACGTACAGAAGAAATGATTGTATCTTATTTTATTTATTTTTATAATTTTGAGAATGAAAGTTACTTAAGAAATGAATATTCAGAAATCGTTTGATTGCCATTTTATGTGTTTATAATAAACCACAGATTAGATTCCTTTCAGTTGACAATGAATATGCCAAGTATATAAATGAATAGACAGTGTGAGCTATTTAAATGCCAAAGGGAAACCCCAATCAGCACTATGGACTTAACCCCTAACAAAACAGTATTTATGTACATGGATAGGAGTGCAAGGAACGCATTTTGTGCGTGTGAGTTATTGTTGTGAAAGCAATAAAAATAGGGAAAGCATACTTCATTGCGGGTACTTTATCGACTTAGCAAGCGTCAATTGGCATCAACAAGGAGCAATGACATGTAATGAAACACTGTCAACGAGCAGAGGAGGCGGCGGGCATGGGGCCACCACTGAAGCACCCGAAAGGGTTCCGAAACGGGGCGGCTGATGTAGCGGGCAGCTGGCTATAAAAGTCGTGTACGACTCAGGCAGGCGCTTCATTCGCAGGACGCAGACACAAGCAGTACGAACAGCCTTTAAAAAAATATATATATTTATATATAACGGAAAATCACAGCAACAACCTCTTCCGGTATACAAAGCGCAGAACCAGCAAGCAAACAACAACAAAAATTACACGCTGGGGTTTCCTGTGCTGTGGGAAATTACATTCCGTTTGCTCCATAAATAAATAAGTGCCGCTGGGAAATGCGGGCAAAACTACAAACAGTTGCAAAGTGATACGGGGATACGAAGTTTAATTCAATTAAAAACCCAAGCCTGTTGCTCATTTAAAGCCAGGCAAAAGCAATTGTAAAGGTATACTATAAAGGTATTCAAAATATGCAAAATTTAAAGTGAAACTTAACCAAAATATATAGTCTAAAGGAAGGATTAGCTAAAATCCTAAAATACCACATTTTTTAATTCATCCCACCAAACTTAAATACATATATGTATTAATTGAAAGAAAAAACTAATACAAATTAGATCAGATCTTCAACGCAAGAAACCATTATAAAACATAAATAAAAAAAAAATAAAATAATAAAAAATTATATTAAATGATATAATAATTTTCATTCATCTTCCACATTGACTACTTGCAGAAAGTTTCTGCCCAAATAGTAAAATCTTCAAATCATGTATGGAATGCTGTATGAGAGTGTCCAGCACTATGTGCAGGAGGAGTACGGCATGGACGTATGGAAAAAGGTTTGCCGCATCGTCGACTGCAAGCACAACAGCTTTAAGACCCATCAGATATATCCGGACAAGCTGATGCCGGATATTGCGGCTGCCCTCTCCGCCTGTACGGGCGAGTCCTTTGACTTTTGCATGAACTTCTTTGGCAAGTGCTTCGTACGATTCTTCAGCAACTTTGGCTACGACAAGATGATACGTTCGACGGGTCGCTACTTTTGCGATTTCCTGCAGTCCATCGACAACATTCATCTGATCATGCGCTTCACATATCCGAAGATGAAGTCGCCCAGCATGCAGCTGACCAGCATGGACGAGGGTGGAGCGGTCATTCTATATCGAAGTGGGCGCACGGGCATGTCGAAGTATCTCATCGGCCAGATGACGGAGGTGGCAAGGGAGTTTTATGGGCTGGAGATCAAGGCCTACGTGATCGAGAGCCAGAATGATATAAGCGGCGGTACTGCGGGACCCATCAAAATGACAGAGGGTCCTCTAACTGTCATAGTCAAGTACCGTCTGGACTTTGATAACAGCGAGTACATGGCGAAGCGGGTGAATACCGTGGCGCACCCGTCCCAGGTTAAGATGCCAGCTGTGGATCTGAATGTATTCCTGGAGTTGTTTCCCTTCACTTTTGTGCTCAATCATGATATGAAAATAACGCATGCGGGCGAGAAGGTAGTCGAAACGTGGATAATGCATAATCCGGGCGCCAATCCGAAGGCATTTATAGGCACCCATGTCACGAATCTATTCTACTGTCGCAGGCCAAAGGACACCACCATCGACTGGGACACTTTGATCCAGATGCGTACGGTCCTCTTTGAGTTCGAGTTGATCCGTACCGGGCACAATCGGCTTGCCTATGATGCTGTACTCAACATGGACTTTGAGAACTACGATGACATGCTCCTCAACGAGGCCCAGGCTATCGCACTGGCGAAAGCCCAAGAGTTCAGCGATAACAATGTGGGTGATATAGATGATGGGTCCAGCGAGGTAGAGATCGATCCGGCAACGGGCCAACGTCGGGCTTCCCAAGGGTTACGTTCTATCCTGCTCAAAGGACAGATGTTCTACATCAAGGACATCGACTCCTTGATTTTCCTATGCAGTCCCCTCATAGAAAATCTGGATGAGCTGCACAGCATTGGCCTGTACCTGAATGATCTGAATCCACATGGTCTGAGCCGAGAGCTTGTCATGGCGGGCTGGCAGCATTGCTCCAAGCTCGAAATAATGTTTGAGAAGGAAGAACAGCGCTCAGACGAGTTGGAAAAGTCCTTGGAGTTGGCCGATTGCTGGAAGAAGCAGGGAGACGAACTTCTCTACTCGATGATACCGCGTCCCATCGCGGAACGAATGCGCGTGAGCAATGAACACGTCTGCCAGAGCTTTGAAGAGGTCTCCGTTATTTTTATTGAAGTTATGAACATCTACGATAGTGGATCAACCAACGTGCAGGAAGCAATGCAGGCGGTGAACATCCTAAACCAAGTGTTCTCTGCGCTGGATGAGGAGATCATATCTCCGTTCGTCTACAAGGTGGAAACGGTGGGCATGGTCTACATGGCAGTGTCCGGGGCACCAGACATCAATCCCCTGCATGCCCAGCATGCCTGCGACCTGGCTCTGAGGGTCATCAAGAAGGTGAAGTCCCACAATCTGCCGGATGTGGCAATCCGAGTGGGTATCAACTCTGGCCCGGTGGTGGCGGGTGTTGTGGGCATGAAGGTGCCGCGGTACTGTCTCTTTGGCGATACTGTGAACACGGCCTCACGCATGGAGAGCAGCTGCGATCCATGGAAAATACAATTGTCCAACTACACGGCCGAGAAAGTGCGAGATGTGGGCTATAAAGTGGAGGCACGCGGCAGAGTTAATGTGAAGGGCAAAGGTGAAATGGAAACATTCTGGCTCGTGGAAGGACCTGAAGATTAATAAAATTGAAATTTCTATTGTAGTAATACTTAACACGTATATCACATATCTATTCATATATAGCTAGCACATTACACTGCATTTATAGAAGCTCTCATTATTGCATTAAATCTATGTAATCTCCTTTGTGGACTGTCTTTTATATAATTGGTGGGATTTGACATTATAGAGCTGGTATACTATTATGTGTGAGTTAAAGGAATAGAAACTTACCAGCGCTATAATAATAAATTCGTCTATCTGTGCCTCCCCGCTTATTCTTCTCACTTTCTTTCTCTCCATAGCTCTTTTTTTCTCTGTATTCAATTCGAGCTATTTTCAAGCTGTCTCAATTACTTTTTTCAGGTTTTTTATTGCTCTCTGAGGCTTTTTTCAGTCTTTCTCCCTGTACTCTGTCAGTTACTTCTTCCCCCTACTTCTTTTTCTCTATTAGTCTCTATTTCTATTTCCTTCTATCTATCTCCTTATCTTCTTTCTCTCTTTATCTGCATTTCTCTTTCTTACTCCCTATACTCTCCGTCTCTGTCTTTATTTCCTCTCCATTTACCATTTATTTGTTTGTCTTTCTCTCATTCGGATCCCTTTTCTATCTCCTTGCCGTAATCTCTCCCTCTCTACTAATTTCTATCTCTTTCTCTAAAAAGTTATGACTCCCTCTCTTTCTCTCACTCTCTCTGCCTCTCTCTCTCTCTCTCGCTATCTCTTTCTCTCTTTGCTATTCCTTTCAGTATTTTCCTCTCCATTTGCTTCACTCATCGAATCATCTTATCATCGTCCTCTCAACTTAATTGTCATCTGCCTGCCATGAAAAGAAACCCCAATTAGATATTAACTTTATTGCAATACACACATACGTAATATAACCTCACACAAGTATCTTTTTATAGAGAGAACTGGTTGTCATCTTCCCACACAGCTTGATTCCGATGCTTTGATGAGCTCGATTGTTATCGTTATGTCCCATAAAACGTAATGCCCTGACGTCCGTTTCCATAACGTGGTCGCAGTGGACTGTCTCCTTTCCGTATTATCTAACATGCCATGCCAATCCAAAAAATATTACAATACTCGCCCACAGTATACATACAGGGCATATTGGCTATACTTTGTCTATCTGACAAAAACAGAGAAATACTTCTCATACAGATGGCATGCTTACGCCGTATAATTTAATATAATGCATACATTGTTTATCAGAATTGAGCGCGTATTAGGCAGTCGAGTGGAACCGATTACAAGGTGCTTACTCGTTTTTAATAACTTTTATGAGCTATTCGCGTGTCAAATTGTGCGCACAGACGTGGCCCCTAAAAGATACTCTTGTATAGCATACTTCCTGGCGAACTTAAGTGGCAATTGTGCGCACTTCTCCCCGTCTGCTCCTGTAATTAAATTAAGCCATTCTGCGTGACCAAGGGGACACCTAAATATACCAGTGAAGCCAATTAATTGCGAGCTTCGATTGCTCCGAACTGCATTCCTCGCGTGTACATCATAATAATTTATAAATGGTTATTGTATTCAAACATAATTCATTGCTGTCTATCCTTGATGGCATTTTGAGTAGCTTTTAAATGTTCTCAAATGGGAATCCTTGTTTCTGTTAAGCTAAATATTAAAGTCTCATCCATGCCTATACCATGAAACATCATTTCGGCCATAAAATTGTCAAGCAATCACAAATCCTGCCTTTTTTGCTCTTTGCCTAACCCAAAAATCCTAAAAATCCGAACAAAAATCCGCATTAAATTGCTTTAAAACACAATGTGAAAAACGTAAGGACAAACGCACACTCAGACCCCCACATAGACACATTTTTCTGGATTTTATGGGTATGCGTGAAAATGTCAGAGCATTAAATACAGCAGCAGCAGTGGGACATCAACCGAGTCCACCCAGGGCAAAGGCAAAGGCAAAGGCTACAAAAATGATACATTTCATGAACTGTGAGAAAACAGACAAAGATACCAGGGCTGGACGAATATGCCTCGAACTGGCGTTAATATAAGAAATCTGCTTCATATAGAAGGCTATCAAAATCTTATAGAATAATTTAAAAACACTCAAAAGTCATAGCTAACATTCCGTTATTATTTAAGTTTTTTTCCAGGGGATAATAAATTGCTGTACCTGGTATACATACATACATTCATTACGCATGCATAAATCAATTTTCTGCTCAATCAATAATTCAATTAATATAATATAATATACTACAATATAATAATATACCTGAACACATACAGAAATATTGCTCTGTGATCTGTGTGTGTGCGTGCGTCCGTCCCTATTGTAACAGAGTCAAGGGACAGTATTTCCTAGAAAGCGCCAAGAGCGCGTAAGCACGTAATGACAAAGGACGCAAGAATAAACTCACTTTCATTGGATGCTTTATCGAAAAGCGTCCGTCAATTGGCATCAGACCCGTCGTGGAGCAGAGGGGGACATCGAGCACTGACATGAAATGAAACACTAACGATGATGATGCAGGCCGAAGCAGTGCTGTGCGTGTCTACACAGAGAATGAGAGAGAGAGATGAGGTAAATGGCAGGCAGGCAGCACACACACAAGTGAGAAAAAGGCGTAAAGTGCGTGGAAATGTGGAGTCGCCTATAAAAGACCTGGACGTCAACGCAGCGCGCTCCAGTCGCACGACGCGGTGCGAACGCTGTGAAACCCTGTCCGAAGCAAATTCACGAAGCAACGGCGACGGCGACGGCGACGGCGACAGCGAACGAAGCTTTGAAGGCAAAGCATCGCGTATGAAGTATAGCATTCGGAGCATCGCCGTTAAATGCGGCAAGGCAACAACAACAAATTAGTTGAATAGCAGCAGCCGACAGCGACAGACTGTGAGTCGTCTACGGCGAAGTGTTAAACAACGGGAAACTGCGACAAATCCGGGCAAATTTGTGTGCGTGCCTTTATGTGTGTGTGTGTGTGCGTGTGTGTGAGAGAGTGTGTAAAGCATATGCTTTATTCGACCAACTTTAAATTATAAATAAACAATGCGCCGCCGATAAATTTAACACCAAAGAGCAGCGAAAGCGAGCACAAAACTACATCTTAAGCAAGAATCTCATTTGGACTTCATTCGCATATCTAAGGACTGCTGCCTCATAATGTAAGCAAGATGCCGTGTATTTAATACACGGGCAATAAATATGCTAATTGGAATGTTAAGTAGCAATCCGGATTATCCGAGGCCCAAAATAACCACGAATTGAGTGACCTTTGATAAGTCAAGCCTTTTGTGAACTTGGCTGTTGGTATTGTCGAGATTGGAGTTGATTGGATGACTATTGGGATTAGATTTTCTAAGCAGTATAGACATGAATTAATTAAACATATTAAGCATATATTTATTACTTACTGTAAGCTTAAATAATAGGTATGCATTCTCAATTGTAGTTTATAAAACAGGCAGATCGATGCCATTGCCAAGATTGGAGTTGGTAGGCTTTAAACTAACATAAGAGATATACCTCAATTCAATAGCTAAAAATTTCTTATAGCCATATTGTTTAGGTCCAAGAATGAATGATAATAAAATATGTGACTTGTTGAGCTAAAAAGGTAAATTTTATATAATCAACAGATTATATTCGAAACAGAAAACTCTTTTCAAATATTAGATACATGAATGGCATTATTATAATCAATTAAAAAATCTCTCATTTTTTACTCGGAGCGTACTTAGTGAGAGCGTGCTTATGCGTGGGCATATGCTGCTTCTTCTGTATGCAGAAAAAATGGGTCGAATAATGGGAATATCAAATCTTCGGAGGATTTAGGGGATGTCGCATTCAAGCAATCTCTCGTTACCTTACACATATTTTTCAATTATTACTAATAAGGATTATTAAAGTGATTAAATGCTCGGCATTTAATGCTCGCCTTAAAACATTAAAGTATCTTATTTATTATATATCGCTAGTATTCCTTAAAAAATCTATTCATCTTTTTATTTAATTAAAATTGCATCGTTAACGAATTTATTTTGAAAATTGAACAAATTATTCACGCCATATAAAGTACTTGAATGAGTTTTCGGTTGGTAACGTTGGAAATTTATCATGCCAGCCATATTAAATTCGCGCAAAATTTATGGGTTCCCGGTTAGTTAGACAAATGTTTTACAAGGGCAAATTGAAAAATAAAAGAGCACAACAAGAACAGGAATTAAGCTAAGAACAACACAAAGAGCTGTTGCTGTTGTTATTTCACGAACGTGACAAGCAATAAGAACGGGGCTCTCCTGGCAGGAGGACTAAGTGGGGCAGGCCTCGGAAGCAGGCGCGCGTGAGAGTAAACCAAATTAAACTGTCAGAGCAATAAATCAAAAGATATTTCTTTACTTGGGACGAAGCCTCTTAGCTTTTTCTGCATGCGCCGCGCAAGATATACTTGGCTGACTCTCCGTGAGTCCTGGGGGCATGTTTTGTGGTCTGTGATGCATATGAGACACTCGTCAAATCCTTAACTCAATTTTATGCTTGACAGCAGAACCTAAACGGGTTGAGCACTCAACGCAAAATGTGGAAATATGTTAATCAACTAGATCTTCTATCAATCACAAACCTACTAAAAAACATTTATTTATCTGCTTGATTGATGAATGACTTTCCAATTTATTTACAAAATAGTCTAAATAAAGATTGCATATCTAGCTCAGAGCTCCAATTAATTATATTTTGTGTTAAGAATGTTACCTAAAATAAAAAAATTAGCTAGTACTTTATTTGGATGTAACAAAAAAGTATGATTCTCTCATAACTTATTTCAATAGCAAGCCTAATAGATTGTCAAATCCAGAGAGAATAGTCAGAAAAACTGAACTAAAGTAGATAACTTAAGTATAATTAACGACCTATCGCAGTCTTGACCTTTGGTAATCTCTTGCAAATTGACTAAAGTTTATCGTGCTTTGAATAATGGAAAAACTTTGTAATAGTCCACCCTAATTATGCGCTTACAAACTTTCCCTCGTTGCAGATAAACTTGACGCAAGCAATTTAAGCACAGAGGGCTGACACCTGGCCCACACACCTGGCACGCAACCACCCAGCAAGCCCTCGGCCACAATCTCCTAGGGGGTGGCACTACCAGCAACATGTACGGCATGCTATATGAGAGCGTGCAGCACTATATACAGGAGGAGTACGGCATGGAGACGTGGAAGAAGATATGCCAGATAGTCGACTGCAAGCACAACACCTTTAAGACCCATCAGATATATCCGGACAAGCTGATGCCGGATATTGCGGCGGCCCTTTCGGCCTGTACGGGCGAGTCCTTTGACTTTTGCATGAACTTCTTTGGCAGGTGCTTCGTGCGATTCTTTAGTAATTTCGGCTACGACAAGATGATACGTTCGACGGGTCGCTATTTTTGTGATTTTCTGCAGTCCATCGATAATATACACCTCCAGATGAGATTCACCTATCCGAAGATGAAGTCGCCCAGTATGCAATTGACCAATATGGATGATAATGGAGCGGTCATATTATATCGAAGTGGACGAACGGGTATGTCGAAATATCTCATTGGCCAGATGACGGAGGTGGCAAAGGAGTTTTATGGCCTCGAAATGACAGCTTATGTAATAGAAAGCCAGAACGATATTTGCGGCGGAACAGCGGGACCAATCAAGCTGACAGAGGGTCCTCTAACGGTTATAGTGAAGTATCGTCTGGACTTTGATAACCGCGACTATATGGCTAAGCGTGTCAACATTGTCGCCCATCCCACTCAGCTTAAGATGCCCCCTGTAGACTTGAATGTCTTTCTGGAGCTGTTTCCGTTCACGTTTGTTTTGAATCACGATATGAAGATCACTTTAGCTGGCGAGAAGATTATTGAGACTTGGATATTGCATAATCCGGGAGTTAATCCAAAAAGCTTCATTGGCACCCATGTCATGGATGTGTTCAAATGCCGTCGTCCGAAGGACACAAAGATTGATTGGAACACCATTCTACAGATGCGAACGGTTCTCTTCGAGATGGAGCTAATTCGCACCGGGCACAATCGGGATGCCTACGACGCGGCTCTGAACATGGACTATGAGAATTTTGACGAAATGAGTTTAAACGAAGCCCAGACCATGGCACTGGCTAAGGCCGATGAGTTTGAGAAGGAGCAAGAGAAGGAACAAGAAGAAGCGGCAGCTACCAAACGTGATGAGATCGATCCAGCCACAGGACAACGTAGGCCTTCAGTGGGTCTGCGTTCTATTCTCCTGAAGGGACAGATGTTCTACATCAAGGATGTCGACTCGTTAATTTTCCTATGCAGTCCCCTTATAGAGAATTTGGATGAGCTGCACAGCATTGGCCTGTACCTGAATGATCTGAATCCACATGGTCTGAGCAGAGAACTTGTCATGGCGGGCTGGCAGCATTGCTCCAAACTGGAGATGATGTTCGAAAAAGAAGAACAGCGTTCCGATGAGCTAGAAAAGTCCTTGGAGTTGGCCGATTCCTGGAAGAGGCAGGGAGACGAACTTCTCTACTCGATGATTCCGCGTCCAATTGCGGAACGAATGCGTATGGGTCAAGAGCACGTCTGCCAGAGCTTTGAAGAGGTCTCCGTTATTTTTATTGAAGTTATGAACATCTACGATAGTGGATCAACCAATGTACAGGAAGCAATGCAGGCGGTAAACACCCTAAATAAAGTCTTCTCCGCGCTGGACGAAGAGATCATATCACCTTTCGTCTACAAGGTGGAAACTGTGGGCATGGTCTACATGGCAGTGTCCGGGGCACCAGATATCAATCCCCTGCATGCCCAGCATGCCTGCGACCTAGCTCTGAGGGTCGTCAAGAAGGTGAAGTCCCACAATCTGCCGGATGTGGCCATTCGAGTGGGCATCAACTCTGGCCCAGTGGTGGCGGGTGTTGTGGGCTTGAAGGTGCCACGGTATTGTCTCTTTGGCGATACTGTGAACACGGCCTCACGCATGGAGAGCAGCTGCGATCCTTGGAAAATACAATTATCTAACTATACGGCCATGAAAGTGCGAGATGTGGGTTACAAGGTGGAGGCACGCGGCTTTGTAAAAGTCAAAGGCAAAGGCGATATGGAAACCTATTGGTTGCTTGAGGGACCAGAAGAATAATAAATCTGTTACTGAACTTTACTAACCAATAAAAATATATGTATATTTGTGGTACAAACCATAACTTTTGTATGTCACGTTAATAAAGCGTTTGAATACTCCATATGTTCGATAACGATAGATCGATAAGTTTCCTCACCATTTATTGGCGGCAGAACCTGTCAAACAAGCACATCACGGCAAAGTGGGCCGATAAATGATCTGCTGTGCCCCTTCACTTTGTTTTTGAATCCCAGGAGATAAAGATAAGTTGCACATTATCGCCGTTTATTGTGTTAGACAAACGCGATGCTTAAGTATAATTTAATTGTTGCGGTGTGTGAAAACTTTGGCATTGGTTTCAAGGGCGACCTCCCCTGGCGTCTAAAGTAAGTCAAGAAAACATGCGCATTACGGAACTTGTTTTATTTTAGATTATTTTAAAAACTTGTTTACCCTATATTATACATTTCATACACACCCTTGCACAGATCAGAGCTTAAATATTTCAGTCGCACAACAAAGCGAATTAATGATCCCTCCAAGCGCAATGTCGTGATTATGGGCAAGAAGACTTATTTTGGTGTGCCTCCCACGAAGCGCCCACTGCCTGACCGTCTAAATATTGTACTAAGCACCAAACTCACCCAGGAGGAGCTTCCAGAGGGTGTTTTACTGTGCCGCAGCCTCGACGAGGCCATGCAGACGTTAGAAAGAAAACCCTTGTGTGATCGGGTGGAGAACATTTGGATTGTGGGTGGCAGTGGGGTATATGCAGAAGCAATGGAGTCTCCCCGTTGCCATCGTCTCTACATAACTAAAATCCAAGAGCGATTCGAATGCGATACGTTCTTTCCCAACATTCCGGCGAACTTTCACGAAGTAGAGCTCACCGAGGACACGCCTCATGGGGTACAGGAGGAGAATGGCATTAAGTTTGAGTACAAGATATTGGAAAAACGCGAAAAAATATAAAACAAAAACAAACAACATTTATTTATTACTGCCTCTCACATCGTCTGCTGTTATCGTGTCGCCATGGAGGCCCTTGGCGGCCAGCATTAGCTCATACAGCTGGACCACTTGATCGTCTTTGAGCATTTCCACTGACTGTGAGTCAAGTGGTTCTCCCAATTCCCCTTTGGGCTTGCCGCGCAGTCCCAGCTGTTTTGTGATCGTGGACGCGTAGCGCTACAAAAGAGAATCGAGGCAATCAAAAAACTCAAATCCGCTTACGTAAATCACTTACAGCCCATTCAGTCATGAAAAGTTGTGCCTCCATAGGATTGCATTTGAGGTGCCGCCTAAACTCATCCCGCACGTAATTATCGCCCAAGGCACGCAGCTCAGTGGGTAACCCTTCAATTTAAATATGGACCTGATATTAAGTCAAAAGTTGTTTGTTTATTGTTTGCTGTGGGTTGACTTACCTCGATGTAGCCTCAATATGGTTTTGTACAGCAAACGAACACGCTGTGGGTGTGTAAACTGGCTCATTATATTTATCGACATGGTGTGTCTTTTATAAATGTGCTTAACTATGTATACTTAAATATTTGTAGTAGTAAAATCAAAATCCTAAATTATAAAAACAACTGCCAGCGCCAGGCCAACCAAGCCACAGGGCTGGGAAAACTTTAAGAAATTATCGATATATCACGGACCCTCTTTTTCGATAATACCAATTTTGAAATATTGCTTTACAGATCGTTTAATAAAATACACAATACAGACTTAAATATTGCTTGAAAATTAGTATATTATATTCAAGCACTTTATATCTATTTCTTTTATCTTAACCAACTGCTTTTAAATTCTGGGATGTGTAAAATCAAGTTGGCAGGTCTGGCACAGCCAGCGATTTCGTGCGTTTGAATTTAACAGCAGTTTTAATTAGGTTGGCATGTCCACGCCGCGCGTCCCTTGCAAAAAGAATTCCTGTACAGAAAACCGGGCTGCTTGTGCGTATGAAAAATATATAATAGAGTGCGTAAAAACGTCTATTAAAGAGAAAAAGTATTCTATTATTGTTGTGCGTACATGTATGCCAGTGTTTGTGGTATTTCTATGCGCGCTACAAAAGTCTAGCTTCAGTTGTCGCTTGCGGCTTCCTTTTTTTCTCTCTCTGTCTTTTACTTCTGCACCAAGCGAAAGTTGCAGCCGCCGACGACGAGACTCACACCGCCGCCCACAAGCGTAGAGGTTTTTTAGCAGCTGCATTTGCAATTAATTGAATGCTAAATGTATAATGTCGCTGGATGGCGCGCAATTGAATCATGTGAATGCTGATGGCATTTCAGTGGCATACCCAGCCAAAGGACGTAAGTTCAATGTGGGCTCTTTTCTGGGCTCCGATTTGATGCTGCCCGATGCCGAGCGCATTCACTGCGAGATACAATGCGATGCCTTTGGCAGGGTGAGTACTGTGTTTGTGTGTATATGTGCGTGTAAATAAAATGCGCGCGTATCGATTTGGCATGGCATTTAATAAACAATATTAATAATTGCTATATCTAGGTAACCGTCTACAATTATTCAGTCAACGAGCCCATCCTGTTGAACGATCAGGTTGTTCCGGCGACCTGCAAGCGTCCATTGGTGCATGGCGCACGCCTTAAAATACTGAATGAATTGTATACATGGCATTTTCCCAAAGTGGAAGACGCGCCCAGCACACCGGACCGAGCGCCACCCGAACAAGCGGCCAACTCATCGCCAAGCTTGAAAGTAAGTATAACATGAGGCATTTAGATATACGCTTTACTAATTGGCTCTGGCCATTTTCACAGACTCATCGACCACGTCGTCAATTTGAGAATCGCTTCACCGTGCACAAGTAAGTAAACGCAAACACAGCATGAAGCATGCAAGGCAGGCAGCAAGCAACCCAGGTAGTCAAAAAGAAAAGGACAAGCACACACATTTAACCCCCAAACGAGCGGGCATATGCTCTGAAAATATATATATAGAAACCTCAAGACAGCAATCAAGAATTCAAGACAGACTCAAGAATTTAGGAAATACTGAGCAGTCAACAATTGAATTTACTTTGATATTACTGTAGTGGGAAAAAATATATAGCAGACGTTTTGTATACTGGGCGAAATATAAAGTTATGTCGTAAAATTAAATTATAATATTAACACAAGCATATATAAAAAAATGTCGTTTTATAATACAACATAATCACAAGATACGTGAAAACAAAAATAAAAATAATTAATTTTTAGCAAGATAATATATAATAATATACTTGCTAAACATTGCCAATCATTCAACTATTAATTTCATACGGACTTTGTTGATCAATATAAAGAAAATGTTGAAAAATAAGATAAAATGATATTACGAACGGGAGCCGAAAGAACCGTCGAAAGTTGACATATTTTCGCTATTATTATTATTTTCTAATTAAGTATATATTAACTTTGTTCATTATTATTAATGAATTCTGAACATGAAGAGAGTAATATAACAGGATATTTTAGTGCTGAGGCCATATTTGATATATTAATGAATATTGCTTTAATGATATAATGCTTGCAGCTTTCGATATTCCATCAATTCAGACGATGAGGGCAATACATCGATTGAATCGCCCCCATTGGAGACCAGCACGAGCAGCAATGCAGAAATAGATCCGACAGCTGAAGCAGGAGTAGAGCGCTGTGTTACCCCGTCCGTCCAAGAAGTGGACGAGTCGCTGCCCAAAGTCGATTTAGTGAAGGCAACGCAGAATAAGGAGAACACCAGGACGCCCTGCAACAAACTGCTTCTAGAGTTGTGTGACCGCTCCGATGTTGTCATCACATCGTTCTCACCACGTGAAACGGGCGTAAAAATTGAGAAATCCTTTACACGCGTCATCAAGCCCAGCACAGGACTCGGACCTGGATTGCTCTCCGCGTCAAATACGCCGAAGAGCGTTTACAGCACGCCGAAGAGTGTGCTGTCCGAACAGAACGATGACAGCTGCAGCCGCGACTTAATGGAGTTCAGTACGCCATCCACGTCGAAAAAGGCTCTGGCTGGCAAACGACAATCTTCCATGTATTTAATTGACCTAACAACGCCGCAACGATTGCGGCCCACATTGTCGGGGACGCCTAAGCAGACGCCTGCCAGTGCTGGCGTCATCAGTGTGACCTCCACTGATGAATCCTCTGACTCGCCGATGGTCATAGACATAACCAATTTGTCCACGCCGTCAACATCGTCAGCAACTACAACCAAGCAGGAGCAACAGTCCCGTCTGACAGCCAAAACGCCCAAGGAGCAGAAGCTGGTTGCCAGCTCTACGCCCAGGCGCACGCCACAGTCGCTAATGAAGCGTGCACTGCTCACCAGCGCCAAGAAGCAATTGCCTGAAGCAAGTAAGAGCAAGCACACGACGCCCGCTCGTCAGTCGCTGCTCGAAGCACGTCGTCAGTGCTTGACGGCGCCTCGACGCCTACCTTTCCATCCGCAGCCGCAATGGCGCACACCGGGTCGCCGCCAAATAGCCAACACTCCAGTCAAGGCTCCCTTGACATCGCCACGGAAACGCCAATCGTCCGTCAGCCTGAGCAGTCCGCGCGACAACAAAATCTCGCAGCTGCGCAAATCGCTGGCCGCCGCCGCCAAGGTGAGTCCAAGCGTCGGCATGAGCAACAAGCTGGTGGCTAAGGCGCGTCGCGCCCTCAACTCGCCCAAGCAAGATTCACCGCAACGCATCGAGTCGCCCAAAGTGAATACACCACATGAAGAGTCCAACGAGCCGGATCTTGGGCAGAATCTGTCCTCTGAGCTGAGCCGCACGTTCACCTTAGATGAGGACAATGGCAACGTATCCTCAGCAGCAGCTCTGGAGGCAATGGCTTCCCTAATAAATGATGAAGAAATGCCTGCCCTGGCACTCAGCAAACAGTTAAATTCATCTCTGAATGAGCTGAAACCCAATGACACGTCTCAAAAAGAACTGGATGAGAGCAACAATACATTTTCTCCCAATGACGATGCCAAAGTGGATGAGGCTGGTTCAACCCATGAAGGCAATCACAATCGAACCTTTGATGCGAATGTTTCTCAGGAGCTAAAGAATGAGAGCATTGCATCCTCGAAAGCATCGCCACAGCTAACGACTGCAAATGAGAGTTTAAAGACTCTTGAAGATGCAGCAACTGTTAAGAGTGTTGTACTGCGGGAAACAGCTTCCGAATTCTCAAAGGACTCACCTGCAGTTGATATCATTGAGGATAACATCTGCGAGGAGGTGACACCAATAACCACATATCAAGAAGGTAAATCCCTAGAAAATTGTATGAAATCAATTAATATTAATATTTGTAAATAATTCAAGCAGAAGCCGTTGCTAACTTAGCCGAGGACTCCATTTGCGAGGAGGTGTGCATTAGCCCGCAGGATAACTTAAAAGCTGAAGGTAAGAAATTGTAAAGAAAAACCAAAACAAAATACAGAAATGGAAAATTAGAGATCACAGTATATCTTAGACTTTTCTCAAATATTTAATTATGAAATGTCAAACCAATTTTTATTAGAATTCAATGCAGAATAGAGAAAAGAGAAAAAGCATTTCTAATAACTTGATGCAATTAATCAAAATAATTCATAAATTTTAGTACTTGAAGCTTCTCCAGAGGACGATGTGAATGAGTTAGCGGAGTCCAGCCCAGGTCCATTAACAAAGCTCGTCACACGACGCTCTTCAATGGAAGCTAAAGCAGTCGCAGTGACGCCCAGACGCAGTGTGCGCCGAGCATCCATTGAGGCCAGCAATAAGCTGGATGAGCAGTTAGCCAGGCCAAAGCGTCGTGCCTCATGCTCCTCGACCTTGGAGCACGAAGCCACCGCATTGGCCACGACCACGCCCAAACGCAAGCGACGCCTTACTGAAGAGCTGTCGACGCCAACACGCAAATCGGTACGCCGGATAAGCACCACACCAAAGGCAGTAGCGCAAGTAGATGAGTCCGTGGGCGATATGGGCGTCATAGTCGAAGAGGAGGATGCCGCGCAGCTGGAAGGTGAGCTTTATGCAAGCAATAACTTTATATACATATGTACTAAACCAATATTTCGCAGACAATAAATTGCCACCAGATGAGGATTATGGCAACGAGCTGCCAACTGATGCGATTGATGAACCAGACAGAATTGATTACCACGGCATGCGAGAGCTGCTGAAGACACCCAAAAGCTGCAGTACGCCGCGTTTCAAGGGATTGCGTGAGATGATGCGCACTCCCAAGGCACCAACCTCACCCGTGCTAGACCATATTGAGGAGCTGCTGGAGGGGGATTCAAATGATGCAAGTACTACGCCTAAGCGTCAAGTGACCGTGGGCCGTGTGAACCTGGAGCTGACCCGGCCAGAAACGCAGGACCTGTACTTTAAGACGCCGAGTGGTAAGGATCTAATGATACCAAATGATCCGGCTAGTGCAGTTCTCAAATCACGCGAGGCTTCATTGGCAGCCACTACAGAATACGATTTAAATGCAACAAATGCAACGCTACACTTGGACAAGATCTTTGATGATATGCTCACTGCGGAGACAACCAATCCAATCGAAGGTTCCGAGGTCGAGATAAATGTAACCACTGTAAGCACTGCCAGCGACGCTGTAGCTGATCCCTTGGCTTCTTCTTTGGGGCCAAGTGACACGGTCAACTCCGAGGCACTAATGACAATTGGCGATATGGATGAGAGTCATCGAGATCCTCTAACAAGCACTGCATTTAAACCTGGTGCTCAAGCTGATATTAATGAGCGTCATTTGGATACAGGAAAATCATCAAGCATTTGCGAAATGAGTGGAATACAGCTGCTCGATCAGACATCAGATTCTATGTTCTCGGAGCCACTGATTGTCACCGGCGTGGACTCAGCTGACGTCACATTGGAGGAAACAAAGGCAACAGGGATTTGCCAGCCATGTACACCAAGGAAGAGCATTCTGGAGGATTGCTCTGATACGGATTCGATGGTAGGCTTGGCAGAGCCTCTAGTAGTGAGTGACGATGAAGACGACATAGAAGTTGATCCAAAGAAGCCAAGTGTTCAACAAGAGAGAGAGACTTCTAATGTATCAGCCCCAGATATAGCTGAGAGCTCATCTGTCAAACTGCAAGAGCCAAGCGCAAGCACATCAATTACTTTGGATAATTCACAGAAAAAGGAGCAGGAACCTGAACCCTCAATTATCGAAGAATTGTCAATACAACTTGAAGTATCCAGCCAAACTATATCTCGGATTGACTTAGAGGCAACTAACGCCGAGTCAACTTTGGATATATCTATTGATAGTAGAAAATCTACAATTTATGCTCTTAATACTAGCGAAGTTCAAAAGAGTGAGAAGCTGACGACTGGTACAGAAACTGTTATGAACGATCTGAGTAAAGGGCAAGAGGAATCGACAACTGGAGATCCTGTAAGCCATGAAATAAGTGAAATTCCCGAAGAAGATGAAGTTTCCATGATTGAGCTAGAGTCTTCAAATGCTGCGGATAATACAACAGTCAAGGACAATGATAATGAAGTGGAAGCTGTCGCTTCTCCTGTAAGAGAATTACCAATCTTGACAAATGAAAATAAAGACGTTATCAACTGTGAGTTGCCCAGCGAAGAAAAGATCGAAAAGGACCAAAGTCCTGAAATAATATCAAACACAGACACAAAATGTTTAAGGACTGATCTTACGAATAAAGCTGAAATATCAGATAAAGAACAATTGCAAATGCCAGATGCGAATGTCAGCGTTCTGGAAGCTACAACTTCCCATCTGGATATTATGGACTCGAACGAAGCCAATTTAAATACTTCAGATAAGGAAAATCTCGAAGTAGAACTGAAGGAACTGACAGCAAAAAGTAAAGATGAAAAAGAAATTATGAAAATTAGAACACCGGAGGACGTGATGAGTCGGGAGAGTCATTTGGATGAGTCAGTAATTGGATTTGATGCCTCTGTGCTTGCAGAAAGTGTTGAACCAGAGAAACAACTTCCAGAAATCACTGAAAAAGAGAAAGAAACAACTACAACAACAGTAGACAAGGTTGAAAGTCTGAGCTCCAATGCAGACGCATCTATAGTAAAACTTGATGCCTCAGTGCTGGCAGAGATTGACGTAGATCAGCAATTAGAGGAGCAATTACCTGAAATTATTAAAGCGAAAGTTGAAAGCCTGGACTCCAATGTAGACGATTCAATAATTGAACTTGATGCATCTGTGCTAACAGAAAATGATGTAGATCAGCAATTAGAGGAGCAACTTACGGAAATCGTAAAAACGACGGCTCCTGAAAGCGAGATCGAAGCAATAACAGGGGACATAGCTAGTGACCAGAATATTATTCTGGAAGAGTCTATAATTGAACTTGATACGTCTATGCTCGCAAACGATAATGATGTAAAAGACCTTCCTATCGAAACGAGTGCAACATCACATATTCTTAAGCCAGAAGCAAATGAAGTTCGGGCTGAGGATATCGTTGAAACGACATCAAAGGCTGAAACCATATCAACGGAAATTGTTGACGGGGATGAACCCGAATCTAACATAAGTGAATCTCTACTTAGTCAAGAAGCTTCTATCGAAAGGGCTCAACAACCATCGCTTGACCAAGATTTATGCGAGTCGGAAAATTACACAGAAGAACCAGCCCGTCAAGATATTCTTGAAGCTCCAAATCAGCGTGATGATAATCGAAATGAATTATATATTTCATCGGATGACATTCTGCCTAGATCTTCAGGAGAATCCTTAGCGGACACAAGTGCATCTCCTGCTGCCAATGCGAATAAGTCACTGATTGAAATCGACACATCAAATACAGCAACCGAAGAGGAAGACAGAAAGGAAGAGTCAGATGCCAATGCCCAGCCCGCCGTAACATCAGAATCATCAGAGGATGCGATATCATTAACTGATGCGTCTGTCGGCGTAAAAGATAAGATAGTTCAGCATTCAATTGAAAATACTTCTATATTAACATCACCTCAACCTCAAAATGAGGAGGAATTGAATGCTTCTCTTGTACCTGCAGTTGACAAAGCTTTGGAAGAAACGCAGATGGAACAGCCTAGTGATGTACCAAATAAGGAGACAGCTATCAAAGATTCGTCAGCCACAATCCAAGAAAAAGAAGACACTATGGATACCACAAAAGATGAAAATGCGACTCTTTCTAAATACGACGAAGAAATAACAGCTATCGCAGATTCTTCTGCCTCGACTCAAGACATAGAAGAAACCCTGGATACGACGAAAGATGAAAATGCAACAAACGTTAAATCGGATGATGTGCCGAAAGAGGAAACGCCAACTATCGCAGATTCTAAGACCCCAACCCAAATCGAGCAAGAAACCCGGCTTACGACGATAGATGAAATTGCGACTAATGGCAAATCAATTGATGTGTCGCAAAAGGAAACAGCTATCGATGATTCCTTAGACATAACACTAGACAAAGAAGAAACCTTGACTACGACGAAAGATGAAAATGCGATTAAGTCAAACTCAGATGATTTGCCGAAAGAGGAAATGCCAGCTACTGAAGTTTCCTCAGCTACAGCACTAGAAAAAGAAGAAGCTCTTGATACGCTTTTAGATGATTCAATAGCAAATCAGTCAGGTCGTCAAAGCCCAGATGTCGTTTCAAATGATGTATCTATGTATATATCTGAAAATGAAGATGGGAATGCAGTAGCAGTAGATACTCCATTAACAACCGAAGAAAGCGAAAAAGTGGACGCGAAATCAAGTCCTATCGCAGAATTGGCTAAGGTTCTATCGACACCGAATGATGTAACGATGGGAATTGTAGAAAAAGAAAAAGAGACCGTACTAAAAACCGACAAGGAAAATGCCAATATTGAACCCACAGCGCTTGAATCTACTGCTATGGAAGAAGAAGAAGAGCCAGCAAAAAATAATCAAATCCAAACTGATGTTGAAGCTACAAGCACTAAGAGCTCGGCTATGGAAGAGGAAGACCATAAAGTTTCAGCCAGAAAAGATACAGCCGAAGGATCCGCAAATCAAGTTGTTGAAATTATTGATTTGGATGCCAACTGCTTGGCTGAGGGTGAGACGAAACTTGTACCAAATAAAGATGGGCGGAATGAAGATGTAAGCGCCAATAAACTAGATGTTCAGGATGCGTCTCAAACTAATAAAATGGAAGACCAAGAAAAACCAACAGTGGAGCAATTAAAAACTAAAAAAACTATTGAAACTGAAGAGGCACAGGCGAATTCTAGTTCACCCCAAGACGAAAGTCATGCAATTGAAGACGAGAATGAACCTGAAAAAATACCTACAGAAAGTGCTCCAACTGAGATAGAGGGAGTAATTGAACTGGATGATTCTACAATTGACTCTAACTCTATAACTGATCCCAGCTCTTCTGAAATTCAATCTACTGAGGAAGCAGCTGTGATTGAACTAGACGATTCAACTGCAGACTCTAGCTCTATAGCTGAACCTAAATGTTCTATTGGAGATGATGGGGTAATTGAACTGAACGACTCCTCAACTGATTCCAACTCGATGGCACACCAACAGAGTGCATACAGAAATGCGGGAATACGAACGCCTAATCCACCACTAGAACAAGTATCAGTTGAAATCTCTGAAGAAAGCACCTCGACTTCAACCATGGAAAAGGGAAATGTTACGCCCACACACGAAACTGTCGATCAGCAATCAGTTTCTGAACTGAAGCCCGTGGAGACAGTGGCTGCTAAAGTGCAGCAAGTGGATATTGCTGAAAATTCAGAGAGTAAAATAGGGGAGCAGCTCAAGACGAATCAACCTCAAAGTGGCCCGTCACTGCATGTGGAAACCCAAACTGAACCTTCTGAGTTAGGAAACGCAACGCCTGCTTTGACTGAAAAGCAAACCAAGCAAAGCGAGCGTTTGTCCAAAGATTTGCTTGCTGATGTGGAAAATGAGCAGGTGGAGGCTGCTGTTGTTAATCAAGTAGCGATTACGGCAGAAACATTAAATGATAAGCCCCTGCGAACAGAATGCTTGGAAAAGCATTCGGAAGCTGTGGAAAATGAAAAACCACTGGACAAAGTGATCGAACTAGCAAATGAAAAGGTTAAAGAAGACGACACCAAAGAGCAGGGACGTACATCTTCGTTGGATATTACTGAAAGCTGTGAGCCTTTAGAAGAAAAACAGAATGATAAAGCAATCGTGGAAGCTATTGAAACTCATACAGAAAACAAATTGAAATTGCGTACAGAAACGGTTGCGAATATAGAAATTATGGTTGAGGAACCAAACAACCTTCAAAAACCAAAACGTCGAGGCAGGAAAGCAACAGTGGAAATCGATGAAAAGAAATTGGAAGACACAATTGCGAAAGAAACGATCACCCATGCAGAGATACCTGAGCAGCGGACAAAATCACATCGGCGTGGAAGAAAATCAACAGCCGAGACGGAAGAAAAAGAACCAGAGAGCACTGTACAGCCAATTGAGCACAAGTTGGTAGAATCAAGTCATCCCATTAGATCAACACGTCGTGGAAGAAAATCAGTTGATGCTGAGGAAAACAAACATCAGGACAAAATCGCAGATGCAACTATAAAACATACCGAAGTTAAATCTGATGAACAAAATGAAGCACACAAACCAAAGCGTCGGGTAAACAAAGAGACAGTAAAGACTATGGCGGTTGAAAAGAAGATGGAAGAGTCAACTCCGGAAGAAACTGTTGATGCTGAGGATAAGAAACCTAACATAGTCCCAGAGGAAGTTATTGAACATATAGAAACGAAGTCTGAGGAGCAGCCCGATCAACCTAAATCAAAGCGTCGACCAAGAAAAGCAACAGTAGAGCAAACTGAGTCGACAGAGAAGAAACTCGAGGAAACAGTTGATAAGGTTGCTGATAAGCCTAAATCAAAGCGCGGAAGAAAACCTACACAAGATGACAGTAAAGAACATGCAGAGGACAAATCGGAAGAGGAAAGTGCTGCGAATGCAAAAGATCTGCTTAAGCCTAGAACGAGACGCGGCCAAAAGCCAACGACAGCAGATCTTGAATCAAAGGAAACACCGGAACAAGAGAAACTTGTTGAAGAGACAACCGACTTGGACAGACCCATCGTACACGAAGAAAAACCCACAACGACTGCTGAAGAAATATCAGAGAATACGTCAACAGACACGGAGAAGCCTAAGCGGCGTGGACGTAAGCCATCCGCTGAAGTTGTTGCCGTCGAAGTGTTTGAGCCCGTGAAGCCCAAAGAAGAGCCTATCAAAGAGAAGCCCAAGCGGCGGGGGCGCAAAGCATCTGCAGAGGAAGCGCATGAACTGGCCGAGCGCAAAACGACGCGAACGACTCGGAAGGCTTCTGCGGAAACTGTGGAGCAACACGAGCCAGCCAAGGAAACCATGGACATCATTGAAGAAGCTGAGGAACCATTGACGAAGATTCTGCGCGTGGAAGAGCCAGTTGTATCGACTACGCCCATAATCAGAAGACGTGGTCGCCGCCAGTCTGTTAATGCGGAGGAGGCTCCGCCGCAAGACTTGGCTGTGGCAACCAGCTCGCGACGTGGACGCAAAGCCACAGCTGACACAGAGACACCAGCTGAGCCTGCTGAGGTGAAGCCAAAACGACGCGGTCGCAAGGCGTCTGCCGATGAAGCTCACACGGACGACGCGGAGCCAGCGAAGAAACTAGCTAAACGTGGTCGCAAACCCAGCGCTGAAGTGGAGCATCCTGACTCCGATGCAACGGAACCTGCAGTGGAGAAGAAGACGGCCACGCGACGAGTCCGCAAGGTTTCAGCTCAAATGGATACACCTACATTGGCGAAGAAAACAACTGGGCGACGTGGACGCAAAGCGTCAGTGGTTGAGGAACAACTTGAGGTGCCCAAGGACCTGCCGGAATCGTCTGCAGTTAATGTGGCTGCATCATCACCACGACCGCAGCCGCCAAGCTCAGAAGATGAACTGACCCCGCGCCGTCGTGAAGGGCGGAATTTGCCGCGCAAAAATTATGATGAAACATCGGATGAGGATAAGCGGGGCTCCACGTCCTCGCCGCGTCGTGCACGTAAACCAGCAGCTAGCAAAGCGGCCAGTAAAGCCGCTGGCGCCGTAACACCACCTGTTGCGAAGCCCACCACTCCAATCCCAAGGACCAAACAGGAGGCGGTTGTCGAGTCCACAGTGGAGCCTTTGGTACCTCATACGCCGATTGGGCCAGCTGTGGTACTGCCAGAGCCAACTAGCTCTCAGCGACGTGAAGGACGTAACGTGCCGCGCAAGAACTATAATGAGACCTCGGACGATGACAAGCCGGGCACCTCACGTGCTCGTCGGGTTCGACAGCCGACGGTCAAGGCGCTAGAGCTTCTAGTCGATACAGCAGCAGCTGCGCAACGTCCCGTAACGCCAAGGCGGCGCAAGGCCAAAGATGACGGCGATCAACCGCCAGAGAAGAAGCCCTTAGCAGACCAAGGAACGCCTGTTACGGCCACAAAATCGCGGGCTGGAGGTCGTCGCAAAGCTCCTGATCCAGCTGACGTAGCAGAGGTTGTCGCCGTTGCGATCTCAACTGGCAAACGCGTGGCACGCAGCCGCAAGGACAGTGCCGCCAGTAATCAGCATGAAGAACAGGTGGAACAGGAATTGGCGCCGGAGCCGGAGGCGGAGCCCAAGCAGGCAACTAAGCGCAATGCACGCGGCAAAGGTAAAGCTGCGGCAGCTGAAGAGGAGGCGTCAGATGAGCCGGCTACCAAGAAGGCGCGGGGCAAGACGCCGATCTTGGTCACGCATGTGGATGTGGTGCCAACAGAAGAGTCGACCGCCAAGCGAGCTCCAGCTTCGCGTGGCCGTGCCGCACGAACCGTAAAAGCTGTCGAGGATAATGTGGATGCGCCAGAGACGACAGCGCCAGCACGCGCCGGACGCGGCCGTAAGGTACACTTCGAGGCGACGGAGGAGGCAGCGACTGCAGCAAGCGCAACAGCGCAGACAGAGGCGCCCACACGTTCGACACGGTCTCGCCGCAAATAGATTCCATTACCTTAATATTTTAAAGTTTAAACTCTTTTTTTATGGTTATTGTTTATGCCTCCTGTGTACAAAAAATGTCTACAGCATGGTAATATATATGTAACTACGTATTGTTAATTTTTAAGTTAAAAACAAACAATTAAATAAAAAATCTGAAAGTTGACAGAGAGATGGGGAAGGAATATCGGAACTCAAGCATGCAGACATAATGAATACATACTTTAACAAACCTTAATTTCTAGATATACATAATTAAACAATGCATATGAATACTTATATAAATATATACATAAATAAATAGCCTAGCGTGTAAGAATTCTCACAAAAATAAAACAACTAATAAAGAAAATTAAAGTCTTAAATTTGATATGCTGAATGCAATATATTTAATGGCTTGGTACATACGATCAGTTGATCCATAGAATTTGTTATACAAACGGTGTGCTCTGGATAAATCCTCTGGAAACCCGTAACCTTAGATATCTTGTGTGAAAAGATTAAGATAATTTCAAAACATTCTAATTAATTAGCTTCAAAGATTAAGGCAAATAAATATATAGTTTCATTTGAGTTTATTTGATTTTTAAAAGTATTCTTCACGCAAATACATAATAGATCCATACAATAGTTCTGTTTTTTGGTATAATCGTATAACTAATTCGTTCAGACATCAAAGTTACTTTTTTCTTGTATCAATTAAGTATTTTTTCCAATACAACAGGTATAGCTATGATTCCTCTTTTTTTGGGATCTAAATAACAAGGGACTACAAAATATTAGTATAATTGAGTATAAAAGCTGCCCATAGTGGGTTATACATTTATTGCATAGTTAGTGCATACATCGTATAAATAAATCCTATGCTTGAGAACATTTCGTGGCAGAGTTTTTTGTTTTTACAAATGTTGATGTAATGTATGCCAGTTGAGAAAGCATGGGAAATGCGGGTATAATAGAATATAAAATGGTATAAAAGTATACATAACAAGAAATAGAGATAAATAAATATTACAGATAATAAAAATAATAAATTATAATAAAGGACGTGTGGAAATCTTATCGCAAATAGCATCTACGAACAGTAAGCTTAGCATAAATAATAATTGTATGTATGTATAAAAAACAGAGTACAAAATATAGCTTCAATTTCACTGGATAATACTTTAAACAATATTCAATCATTAAAAAATAAAACAAAAACAACTTCAGTTTGTAGATCGGCGCACTACAAATTAAGCAATTAATTTACAAATTGTGCATAGACTCTCTAAAAATAAACATAAATGCTAATGATTTGTGTGTGCTTTGTGCGCGCATGTTTTTTGCTCTCAACTTCAAATTTTGTTTGCTTCGTTCTTTATTTTTTAGGCTTTCATCAAGAGATGCGGCTCGGAGCGCAGAGAGTCCGTGAGGTATTGTGTTTTCATTGTCTTCTGGAAATAGCGCTTCTCGTTCGGCGAATTCACCATATAAACAATTGGACGTACGCCCACATTGCGCCACAGATCGCCTATGTGCCTGCAATAGATTTAAATTTTATATAGGTATGTAGGTAAACTGAATTCAATTTTGAGATTGCTCAAGGAATTTGTAATTTGTCACTGACCCATGCAGCAGGGCTGCCACCTAGTAACAAATACAATTTGAAGCTAAGGATGAACTTTGCTAAACTATCGTAGCTCAGTATTTGGGGCGTTGCCAAATTATTAAATTAACAAGGACAAATTGAATTAGTTTTCGTTTGAATAACTTACAAATTGAACTCTTCCTTGTTGAGAAATACAACACTGATGCCAATTACAGGCGCAATTATATTTCGCAAAATTGCTCCATATATTGAGGTAACAAGCGTTGACGATTTGAGTATGGACAGCGATAAATAGCTCTCATGCCACAGGCCACAAATGATTTCAGGCCTCAATTTACGCAGCTGTAAATATAATTTTAAAATATATATATATATTTTAATTTATTTTTATTACATACAAAAAAAAAATTAACTCTATTAAGCTAAGCATTCTCTGTGGTTTTCTTTTGCTCACCTGGTAAATGGCCAAGGGCGACCGACTAATCACAACGGTTCGCTGCGTAAACGTCTCATTCGCTGCCATAAACTTCTGCAGCTGATCAATCATCAGTGCGCTGGTGTCCTGCAGGTGCAGGAACAAAGTGGGCGGCATGTTCTGCTCTTCCAGAAAGTCCGCCAATTGCTTCAAAGTAGACACCGACTCCCGATCATACTGCGAGCTGAAATGAAATGGGAGTTTTAACATAGTTGAAACTTTAGTTATTCTTTAACATTTTACCCCATTGGATGGTGCTCCGTTATGCTCAGCTGTTGTAGTTCATGAAGCGTGTGATGCGAGAGGTTGCCCGTGAGGCCGGCACGCTCCAAAGTCAGGCGATTGGCTATTACTATTTCGCCGCAGGCCGTAATGCCGGCATCCAACAGGACATTTCGGTAGCCACGTGCCAGACACTGCGAAGGCAAATGGGGTTGGTTACTATTGATTTTTGACTACCGAACAACCACCATCTGATATCTGCTACTGTCGTCGATGACGTCACAAAACACACTCACTCACTCACCTTTTTGACAGCTGCCTGCGAATTCTCGGGTGCATCGTAGCCGGCGCCTCGGTTCGCGATGGGCCAGTAATTGGGCCAATCGTCCGGTGTATTTAGCAGGCTGAGCAAACGCTTCTCATTGGGGCTGCGCTGCAGCTTGACGAACTTGGATGCCACACAAATGGCCACCAGGGTCAGGGTGCACCAAGGAATGGCCAAATTGCAGAAGAACCACAGCACATTGAAGCAGAAGAAGACGAGACTGATTGTGCAGCAAAATAGTTTGTAGATCATTTTAAGGCACAGCCAGCACCAGCGCCACCACATTCACTACAAAATGCTGCTAAACGCACAAATTAGTGTTGTTTTGGTTTATTTATAAATGGCTTTTTTTTTTAGTTTTTTTGTTAGTTTACATTTACCCCAATAAGAAATGCGTGCCGCCAACCAACGTCCCACTTGCCACTCCCACTCTGCTTATTGTCGTTTGTGCCACTCGTAATCTTTCAAGAACTTTTTGTATTTTGTCTGCTCGACTCGTTGGTTTTAAAACCCTTTCTAATCGAAATTACTATATTTAATTAAATCTAAATTAAATCGTCGGTTAATCACAAACGCAGTCAAAACGATGTGTGCACGAATTTTCCAATAAGAAGTGGTCTTAGTGATGTGAGCGAAGCTAGCAAGTGGATCACGCAACTATCGATTGCAACGATAGAAGAGTGCGCGCACTTTAAAAGTGAGTACTTATGCTAAATTGAGAAAATCGTTGGATTTGTAAGCAATTTGATAAATCTGAACTATTAATTTATTTAATTAGCAGTCGAAATACATTTCAATTTACAATTTTGTTAACATTCGCACCCAGCCTCTGATCGAAGGATGTGACAGCCGTGTATAAACACCCGGATAAAACGGATCTAAATTAGAAATGTTGAATAATACGTGATATAGTAATACAAGTATACTAATTTAAGCACTCACCTGCGCAGCCGACGCCCCAAGACACAATGCCGATGAGCTTGCCTTGAGCTGTAAGTGGACCACCGCTGTCGCCTATTCCGAAACGAAGGCAGCAATGTTATCAGACATTTATTAAGGTAAAAATTTAATTACTTACCCTGACATGCATCCGTGTTACGTGCAGAGGCGCAGAACATGCTGCCGAAACAAGAAACACAATTCGTTATTAATTGGATATTGGCTGAATCAGATCTCTCTGTCTCACTATATAACTCTCTCTCTTTTTTCTAACATTCTCTCTCTCGCCTTACTTACGCATCAGTTACTCCGCCGTGATATTTCAAATCGTTGTGACATCTTTCCTGATTAACCGTCCGCACTGTAGTGTACTTCAGCGTAGAGGACAGAACCGATTCCGTGCTGCTCATGTAACCCCAGCCGGAAACAACGGCCAGCTGATTCTCCTCGATCACGGCCCCAGCCTCGGGCAGAGCAATGGGCGAGACATTGGGATCTTGGGTCAAGGCGCCCGGCTGTGTACGCAGCAGCGCCACATCGAAGTTCATGTCCTTGGCATCGTACGAGGGATGCTTATAGATCGTTCGAACACTCATCAGACTGCCGCCGCTGGAGCGCTTCACGCTGCCTAGGCGCAGGGTGAACTCCTGGGGGCTTTTCTCGTGGCCATCGATGCAATGGGCGGCGGTGATGGCCCAGCTGCCGTCCAAGACAGAGGCGCCACAGATGTGAACGGTGAGGCGCCGTAGCGATAGCTGATAAGGAAACTCGCCCTCATTTGCCTCCCTTCCGTTCACAATGCGTCCGTCGGGGCGACGCGGCGGCACTGAGGCCTCACAGATCTTCCAAGAGATCGCAAATATTAGAGTTAGAAGTGGAGCTAGGTTCCGCATGGCTTTGCTGACTCAACGAAACTGAATTGCCAGCTGTTTGCCAAGCAGAAAAAATACGTTGATCAAACCATTGCGGGGAGTTGCACTTTATCAATACTCTCTGTTATCTCAGCTCTTGTACTTTGTTTCAGCTAGACTATAATTAACAATTGTCAATAGGTCTTGTCTTGTTTAGGTTTTATTGCCTTACTCTGTCTTTTTCTCTGTTTTTTAGTGATTATTATTGGTGTTTGGTAACAACGGCAATGAACTTCCATCGCAGTTAGGCCGAAAATTCCCCCGCATTGGAAAATATCAATTGAATTACTAAGAAATATATTTACCTGAAAATTAAAATCTCAGTCATACATTTTCTTCCTTTAGACACCATACAATTTTGTAATATAACTATACCGACATTAAAAATTATTAAATTATTTGTATATTATCAATAATCATTAAAAATTTTAAGCTTAACCGTCAACATATTCGATTGCTTTCTGCTCAGCTGTTTCAAAGCATCGATATTACTGCGGAAAGTCGATTGTTTTCATATCTCTGACAAATAGGTTGCTCCTTTTGCAGATTTCATGATGCGGTCACACTGATCAGCAGTCTCGCGCTTAGTCTTGCCCAACAGTGACGCTTACGATGGGCACGCTGCGCGTCTTTTAATTGATTAAGCGTAATGTTTACATTTATAATAACATT